AAGGCGAGTGCGGGAGCTGGAGCTGGAGCTGGAGCCCTTCGAGGGATCAAAGGTCTTTAACCTATTCCACCCACTAGAATAATTACTAAACCCCCAAATTCTCTGAATGCAGTAGTTGAAACTAAAGTGCATAGCAATTTGATGATCAGGGTTCTCCACAGCTATATGCCCCCTGACAACAGACTAGCTGTTTTGTGCTAAATCGACATCACCCTCTGTACTTTACAAAGGCAACTAAATCATCTTTCTTAGGCTGTGGTTCCCTTTAAACTTAAACACAACCCCTAGATGCATTTTCTCCTGCCTTTTCAGTGAGCGTCTAGGCATGCTGGCGGCCCAGTAACCATAGTGAAATAAACTGTGATGGCAGAGTTCAGTCTGCATTTAATAAAAAGCCAGAATGTCGGACTTCCCAAAATATGGCTGCATAAAGATCAGGAATTCACAATTAGGTCCTCTGCTCCTCTAAAGTCATTTTTTACTATTTTGTTTATAGTTTAGTTATCCTTGATGTCGAACAGAAAAAACAAAGGTATTAACAACTGGAACCAATCAATAACTCACACAGCAGCCTGATTTGTTAGCATCAGTGTTGCCTCTACCGACTTCCCCGTTATAAAGCCGAAAATTTACCCCACAACACAAGACACATGCCGCCCTGCCCGACAAAAGGGATAAATCGGCTCAGTCCCCTGAGTCATGACTAAGTTTTTTTAAATGCTGCAGCAACTCTGGATCTTAAAACTCTGTAAATGCAGTGGCTGGCTCAGCCTCAAAGCACTGGAACGTGTCTGAGCCACAGTGGAAGTCTTGATACTCAGCAGTGCGCCAGGCTCAGTCACCAACTGGGCGGCCAGGCCGGGAGCACCCCAACACGACCGTCAGTGAAAAAGTCCACTCCGGCACAGGACACTGTCGGAGGAGGCCGAGCACGACAGTGGGGGCGGGCAGTCTCTCAGTCACTCTTACAGGAACGCGGCCAGGCGTGCTGGTGGGAGGCGCACTGAAACCCAGGACAGACCCTCCTTCATCTCCACTTTGGAAGACATGCTCGCCTGCACAGCACTGGCGGGAGGCTGGTGGTGCTGGGTATTGCCGGAATCTTACAAAGCAAGTTAGTGGCACTGGTCACTGCCGGGCCTGCGCTATCAGGGCACCTTGCACACTACCCATCTATCCAGAGAAGTCTGTTCCCTATCTACTCTACCTCTTATATTCTAAGCAGCCCTTAGCATAAACAAACACACACACAAAAACAAAAAAACAGGAACTCAAAAGTACTTTGGGCCATGAATGAGACGGCCTTGCTTACTATAGCCACACATTTCTCCCTCCTCTTTTTTTTTTAATTTTTAAAAAGATTTTATTTATTTTTATATACAGAGGGAAAGGAGGGAGAAAGAGAGGGAGTGAAATATCAATGTGTGGTTGCCTGTTGTGCACCCGCTACTGGGGACCTGGCCTGCAACCCAGGCACGTGCCCCGACTGGGAATCAAACCAGCGACCTTTTGGTTTGCAGGCCTGTGCTCGATCCACTGAGCTACACCAGCCAGGGCAATTTCTCCCCCTTTTGAATCAGTAGTTTGGGTTTTGCCCCAACTAAGGAAAATTTTGGACACTTTCATATTAACTGGAAACCCCCTTTATCATTTCACTTTTCTTGGACTAGATTTTTTCCTTCAAAAATGTTTATTATTTAGGAGGAAATGACTAATGTAAATCCAACAAAGAAATGCTTACTGCTTTGAAAGGCAGTAAAAACATATGTGCTCATTTCATTAAAAAGAAGTGGGTAATGAATTACTGAAAAAAAAAAACCAAAAAAACAAAAACAACATTCCTCTTTTTCTAAAGTAAATTCCCATATGAGTACATTTTGGTTTTCATATCCTTAGAAAAAAAATAGTACACAACAGAAGAAAAACCAATTAAGCAAAGGTTAGGATAAAAATGAGCCCGAGTGTCCCCAGCAAAAGGGGATTAATCCTGGAAAAGCCAGCAAAGGTTTTCAAGTCACTCTCACAGAAAACTGCCAAACCAGGATCCTCAGTGCCTGACGTGTGGGGTTGCTGCTACCCTGACAGTAAAAGTAGATACCAAACAGCACTTGTGATGTGGCTGGAACTTTTAATTTTTTTTTAAGATTTTATTTATTTATTTATTTTAGAGAGGGAAGGGAGGGAGAAAGAGAGAGAGAGAATCATCAATGTGAGGTTGCTGGGGGTCATGGCCTGCAACCCAGGCATGTACCCTAACTGGGAATTGAACCTGTGACACTTTGGTTTGCAGCCCGTGCTCAATCCACTGAGCTACGCCAGCCAGGGCTTGGAACTTTTAATTTCATCTTTATAATAATCTATCGAAATGAGTGCTGTTATTATCCCCACGGTACAGATGAGGAAACTAAGGCACAGAGAGACCAAACACATTGCCCAAAGGGAAGCAGCAGGGGAGCGGCAGAACCACGACCGCAACCCGGCACGCTGGCTGCAGTCTCCGTTCGGAACCGCTGGGCTGCCTCGCCAGCGGTCTCCATGCACACCAGATGACAAGTAGGGAGTCCACATGTACATATTTAAAATAATCCATCAGAAAAGCTACTTTTGTTATGAAATAAAATCCAGGACTAGCTAAAGAGGAAACATACTCCAAATAAATTAAAGCAAACCTATGATTTCAAGACGGTAAACTTCCAGAGCAGATGTACCTCCTCTCATTCCTCAAATCCCAGTGATAGACACTTTTAAAGAAAGGGAATAAACTAAAATGGTGCAGGACAACAGGTGAAAGTAATTTTCAGATGCCACGGCTGGACAGGGAAGGCAGAGCAGAACAATCCCAGCGGGAAACAGGAACAGGAGAGGTCTCTGCAGAAACCAGAACTATTCTTCCTGACGGAATCCAGTGCAGCGGGAAGGCAAACCTTTGCGTTCAAGAGCGTCTGCACTGGTGTATCATCAGCCACGCCCGCAGCACCAGCACTGCAGCCTGGCTCCCTCTCCGGGGTGGGTTATCCCCGAGCCTGGGCCTTGGGGCAGAGTGGAGGCGGTGTCTAGGCCCTTCCCGAGAACTACAGACAGAGGGGAAAACAAACAGTAACGGCACCTCTGCCCAGGACTGCAGTGCTGTCACTGCTCCGAGCCAGCAGCGATACCTTCCTTGTGGCAGTTCTGGGGGCCACAGCCTGCTCCTCGCTCTCACCCCCCAGACTCTGAGCGGCCTGCTTATGCCCCCCCAATCCCCCATCTCCCAGCCATGCAGCCCTGCAGGGAGCCCTTGCAGTTAGGGAAGAAGCCTACTGCTAAATTAGTATTCCAAAGCTTTTGAGGAAACCTAGTGTACCTAACCTAACTCTCTACTTATAAATACGTTTGCATCACCAAGGATCAAAACAACATAAAACTCAGAGAAGTAAGATGAAAGAAAACCAGTCAAAGTGAACAGAACAACTTGACATCAGAGTCAGGTCAAATTCGTAGTGAGCTGCACCAGTGGAGGATGAGGCGCAAGAGCCCTCATAACCGTGTGTAGCTGGCACTGAAGATTTCCAGACTCCTGTTACAGCAGCTTTACCGCCCAGAGGAAGTTCTCTATGGACTGGCAGGAAATGCACTTTTATCCTCTAAGGACACAAACACGGAGATCAAACTTCTAACCCTAGTTCTAAGGCCAATATTTATGAAGGCTTAGGAAAACAACCATTTTTCTGTCTTAATTTTCCTGTATATTCAAAGGGGACAGGGTTTTTTGTACCATCTACCTCAAAGAGATGGCTTAACAATCAAAAGTTAAGAAGCATGTTTAAAAACCTCTTTTTGAAAAGTAAAAGGCAGCCCATGAACGCAAGGCGATGCCGCTGACAGAAAGCAGGCTGCATGCTGGGGAGCAGGTGGAACCCAGCGCGGGCTGAACAGTTTGCTGCGGACGGTCCACGAACAGAGGGCGAGAAAAAGGCCTCTGCTTGTGTTAACCGACTCTTAAGAACATACTCGAAATTCTGTAGTCTGGCGTAAGCCTCACTGAATAAACACTGCTGGGACTTGAACTGTTAATTTATGGGAACCAAGGAGATACTGCCAGCAATTTGGTCATTTTAGAGGACTGCTCACCAAGAGAGGACCTCGTATGCAGCTCAAAACGGGCAGACTTGGGTGCGTTTGCAGACACGAAGAAGTCTGAACAGGACACGGGAAGCTGACCGAGACAGACCTCCTCAGCCATGAGGTGTAAGCACTCACTAAATACACATTTATTAAATGACCACTACACTCCCAATGCTGAACCAAACCACCTGCTCTACTAACGAGCCCAGACCATACTCAGACAGACAAAAACTGGTAAGACACATTCACAGTCACCAACTGGCAAAACACAGCCGTCGGGACACCAGTGGTGGTGACAGTCACTGCCAAACCAGAAGGGTGGAAATCCAGCGCCTTAACACGATACGCACGTAAGCCGTACCACGCAAGGAAAAAAGAAACACTCCACTGCTTTTCAGGCTGAGGTTTCAACAGGGCTTTTCCAAAACGTTATTAAATTCTTTGCTAAAATTTGCTTTATTTCTAGTAAAAGAAATACGAGATAGAGTAACCGCATATCTGGACCTTGCTTGGATTGATTCAAATTGATGGTGAAAATTAAATTTATGAAACAATTGTGAAAACTGAAATGCCAATTAAATGTCTAATGATAGTAAGGTGTGATATTGTTATTTGGGTTATTTAGAAAAGACAAAAATGACAGGCCTTATCGTTGAGAAAGCAACACTGCAGTACTTACTGGTGTGATGTTATGTCCAGGAATTGCATTAAAATAATATGGGGAGGTGGGCCGGAGTGTAAATGGACGAAGCTTAGCCAGATTTTGATAATTGTTGAAGCTGGGTGTTGGATTCATGAGGGTAATTATACTATTTTCTCTACTTTTATACACAGTTCAAATTTTCATAATAAAAAAAATGCTTTAGGTATACAAACCAAAGGTGGCTCCTTCTTACCTCTGCTAGAATCTTTTACTACAATGTCAGAGATTTCAAACAGTTTCAGAGGAAGGGGCATCTTCCGATTCGCTGCAATGGTCTTGAGGAGGCCAGGAAGAAGGGTAGTGCGTGCCACCTACAGGAAAAGACGGGAAATTGCACTGGCCAAATAGGACCCAAACACACAGTACTTCCCCCTTCTCATCAGGGGAAGCATCCAAGAGATTCAGTGGGTGCCTGAAACCACAGACAGTCCTAAACCCTGTATATGGGTGCATGTGTATGTACTACGATTTTCCCTGTCCATACATACCTATGATAAAGTTTATGGCTTCACCTAGGAATATTTGAATTGCCAGCATCACTGCTCTCACGCTTTGAGGCCATCATTAAGTATAAGGGTTACTTGAATACGAGCACTGCCATACCGCGACAGCCACTCTGATAACCAAGCCGGCTGCTAAGTGGCAGGCAGTGTAAGCAGTATGGAGGTGCCGGACGGAAGGATAATTCGTGTCCCAGATGGGACGGAGAGGGACGGGGGCAAGGTTTCATCCCACTACTCAGGACAGCTGCAATTTAAAATGAATGCACTGTTTATTTCCTGGATTTTACATTCAGTATTTTCAGACTGGGTTGACTACAAGTTGCTAAAACCAAGAAAAGCGAAACCACAGATATGAAAGGGGAACTAGTGTACTTGGTTGAAGACACTGCCAAGAGACCCATGGCTTCACAAGAAGACACTTCTGGGAAATGCAGTGCTTAAATATCTGTCATTTTTTTCACAATTAAACATTTATTTTATTAAAAGTGAAAACAAGTAATTGGTTAAACATATAGCTGTAAACAACAGCCAAGTCATTTTTATTTTTCAATTTCAGGTCATTCAAAAAGCTAAAAATGTTCTGACTTTCAAATTCTCAAAATAAAAAATCATAAATTTGATTTAAAAAATAAGTGATAAATATTATAGCAAATATAATTGCTTTTATCTAGCATTGGTTATTTTATCATTTTTAAAATTAAAGTTAGCTTTCAAGATTTCAAATATGTAAATTTTCATATCCTGCCTTATAAGTTGAGGTAATTATAAGAAATATAAATACAGGATGGAACAAAAGTAGGTTTACGGTTGTTCATATGGAAAATATTACAATTAATAAATAAGAATTAACTCTGTTTCACATACTCACAACTGTAAACCTACTTTTACCCAAACCTGTATTTAAATGGATCAAATATGAACTAATCAAGAATTTAGAAACCAGGACCAGGGAAAATGTAAATGTAGTTAAAACTCCAGGACAATGAGGGAAACCGGTCACCAACGTGCAGGTGCTAGAAAAACTGTGCAGCTGCTCGGGGCAGGCGACGACTCGGGTTTCCAGCTGAGTAGCCAAAAAGCACAAACACACATCTCAGTTCTTTAAAACAAACAAACAAACACAGAACCGCAAAACTTCTCTGCTTTTGCCTGAAACACATTTCTCGTTCTAAGGCAAATGAGCCGTGCCGGCTATGGAGACACCGTGCTGCCAGCAGGGTCTCACAGCAATGGTGTGACGGCATCCCGACAGTCTGGGAGCTGCAGGCTCCCACGCCATTATCTTTCTCCCAGTCTCTCGCATGAGCTTCTTGAGCTGGTTTCTCTGCTGCCATCCCTGCCCCCTTGCGCTCTGCTCTCCAGAGTGGCCCTTTCAGGCCTAAATCAGACCATGAAACTACTCTGCTCAAAAATCTCCAACAGGTCCACACAATTTTGAATAAAATCCGTGCCCGACATAGGACCCTATGTGAACCTGGACCTGGCCCCTCTCCAACCTCAACCCTTGCCGCTCCCCTTGGCTTCCCGTGGTCCAGCCACACACCACACACTGCAAGCAGCTTTCCATCTCAGACCTCCACCCTTGCTGTTTCCTCTACCCGGTCCCCTAGACCTTGCGTGTGTAAGAAAAACAGAATGAGAGCTTATTGGTACGGGAGAGATGTGAAGTCACTAATAAGCAAAGATATATTATAACCTTGAAATGCTCTTTATAGTTAATGTCCTAATCTATACCACAGATCATTTAGCATTTACTACTAATGTAATGTCATTCTCATGTAACAATTCCTAAACTCCTCATTAAACTACCAGTAAACTAGACAATTACAGTGGAAGACACAGGCAGCGGAGTCGGGAACTGACGTAACAACTAATTTTAAAGTGAACGACTTAAGGGAAATACTGGGAACAGGTGTGTTGATTCATCTACTATAAATAGGTGAAAAAGACGAAATCTGAAAAGAGTATTAACGAATCAATTATAAAATGGAAAGTTCAGATAAGACTGGACTAGACAACATACATAGCAAGTAAGAACTAGCTATAAAGTTAATCAAGAAAAGATTAGAAACTTTTAAGAATTTTTGTCAGTAAAGTAAGAACTTACAAACTTATCCAAGAAGAGACTTTTAAAAAGCTCTAATATTTTGCCATTTGAGGTATAACAGTGTGAGCAGACTTTTTGTAACTCACGTACTGCCTCATTTATACTTACCTAAATACTTATCCACTGGAAATTCTTACCTGAAATTCAGCTGTTTTAGGATTACTTATATGGACTGCCTGTGTTGCAGAGATATCCAAACCAAGTTTATCAGCAATATCTTCCTTGGAGCACTAAGAAATACAATACATACAAAATAGTTCAATATGGAAAAGTAATGACCAAATTTAATAAAGCATTTAATGCCATAAAAGTCAACAGTCTATATATAGCAATGTTGATTCTCTGCTCAAATCAGTGAGTTAAGAGTAAGCTAAGAATAAACATTTTCCAAATAACTCGGCCCCACAGCAGGTGCAATCTCACACTAACCGTTCCCCTGACAGAGCGCTAAAGTGCACGTGCACACGGAGGTGGGGGTGTGATACGTCCTCTTCCCAAGCTGGCCTTCCACCTGCCCTACCCGTCTAACCTCCCACGACTCCCTCGCCGTCCCCAGAACCGTACACTTTCACCTGCCTTTACCTGAAACACCCTCCTGACAACTTGCTGCCACCCTCCAGGGCTGCACTTCAACGACCTCACTTCCACCTCTTCCACAAAAGTGTCCCTCGTGACGCCAGCCAGAGCTCCCTCCCTCCCTGGAGCCCCCGTGGCTTTCTGTTTTGACCATGACTGTGCTCTGCTAAGTCCATACTGACTTATGGCAGAGCGGCAGCACTGAGAGCCAAATTCAAGTGGCCATTTAACTTCCCTGCATATGCACTTGATAAAGCTCCAGGTAATACATAAACTTCTAAGCACTCATCCATGAAAAACAAAGATGCTCGCCCTTAAAAACCAGGATGGCAGGCAGGAGTTGTGCAAATAAAACTATTAGATATAGCAAATCTAATGATGAATGAGAAGAGATGATGCAAATAAAATGCTTGGCATAAATTAAGTGATCAAAAACTGTTAACGATGATAATAAATCATTACTAAAAATAATTATCACATACAGTAATGCTAACTTTGAAAAAGAGTTAAAACTTAACATAAAACTAGCGCACCATCAGATCACTGTATTATTTCCTGGTGCTCCGTGATACGGCTCACTGCACAGTTCTACAGCGTGATCTTCAAGGGCTAGCGGGCCTGTAATTCACTCAGAAAACGAGCACGGGTTTGATTCCTTTCATGCCAACGCCAGCTCTCGCCCCCGCGCTCTCTCGGGCAGGATCCTGGGGCCACACCCAGGCACAGCAGAAAATGCGCCCTGATCTGCCAGGGGGCCGGGGTGGAAAATGGGGGCCAGCCGGCTAGGAGCAACCGTTTTTCCCACTGAGGAGTTTTTACAAGGTTTAGATATAATGTGCTCAATCAATTAGGAAATGCAATTTACATGATGCAATCTACTCTCCAAAAGAACTCGTGCTGTCTGAATGAAAGAAAAAGGCTCCACAGACACGTGTTGATGCAGATGGGTGGTATCTGAGTGACCTGTACTTGACCATGACAATAGACGACCAGGGACAGAAATAACAAGCAGTGTAAATCAAGGTAGCCGGAACTGACAGTAGCTAGTATACGGGAAGGAATATTTCTTAAATGTTAATATTTATGTGTTTATTTTAAAGTGTTACGAAAATACAAGTAAATGAAGCCCACAATTTTTACAAATATTATTCTCATAATAAGGCTAGAGCAGCTATTTAGTTTTAAAAGGTAATTTAAAAGAAAATATTATAACAAGTATACAGACAGCAAAACTCCTAATGATGACATGTGACTTGCTTAATTTAAACCTGGGAAGTCAACAGCTGGGTTTTAGGAAAAGGGCTGACACTCTTGTGTAAAGGAGATAAAACACTCAGAGTTTAGTTTTGCTTTGAAAGTATGTAACTTCATAAATACCTTTAATGATGAAATCCTACAGGAAAACTGTAGTTATAAATCTAAAGCTCTGTAGCACCCCACTCCTTTCCCCTGGTGGTGATAACAGATGTGGTGAAGAGACTTGGACGGGTGAACAGAGTGGCACTCCTGGTGGGACAGTTGAATCACAGGCCCTGGGTACAGGTAGACCCGGGCCAAGTCCCTGGCCCACAGCTGACTGGCTGTGTGGAGTGGGCCAAGTTACCTGAGTTACCTGCTGTGTGAGCCGGGAAGGCCTCCGTACAGGGCCCGCTGGCTGATGGGACCGTGGACCGAAGCCGTGAGCACAGAACCAACTCTGCAGGGCAGCGACCCGCCAGGAGGCAGAGAGACCATGGGCTTCCCTGAGATGCTTGGGGCTAGTTACAAAGTCAAATTCTGTGCCACTTATTAACATTTAAAAAAACAACATACGTTTCCCAAAGCTATCTTTTTGTATTTCATTTCACATGAAGTCATCAGTGCTCACAACTCCTGTGTACATTTGTGTACATATATGAACAGTGTGGCATTACAACAAGCCTGGCGTACACAGTATGATATCACAGAGAAGGCGGAGTTTCTGGCCTTGGTTTTCCTGCTGGCTGGGTAAACTGTCAGGTGCTCCTCATCCTGCCTCGGCACCTTGGCATCACTGACACTGTGCCGTCCTCACTGACACTGTGCCTTCCTCACTGACACTGTGCCTGATATACAACACATGCAGCAGAAACGCTGTCGAGCAAATGATCACTGGATCAGAAAAATCAAGGTGCTGAACCAGATCTGTAAGGTCCCTTCTGACGTTAAATCTTGTGAATTATGAATACTCGCTAATGTGACTGTGGGAGAGGCTGCGTCTCCATACAATGGTGGGAATTCCCACTACTGCATTCTGTAAATACTTTAAAACTTTAAGAATTATAGGGCTGGAACTCAGTTGAGGGGAGAAAAAGAAGTAGCTTGTTTTGGATGTCTTTGTGCATTTTGGGTTTTGCCCTATATCAGTAAGTGAAACTTAACTTGAATACTCAAAACTACACTAGGCTCCCCAGAAATGCTCAGCAAGAGAAAAGGAAACTACAAATTACACGCACATTTTCTCCTTTTCAAATGGTCAATATGGTAGGGGAGGGGGATTTCCTTCTGATTTTGAATAAAATTCATTTCCTAACTTAGGCCTCTTACGTCAGCTTTGCAACTCAAAGCAAATGCTTGTGAACATGTTTAAAGACAAAGGAAGGAGTTTGATGTGGAGCAGTCCCCGAATCCCACCCTCAGGTGGGTGGCATCTAGCAGACACAGGCCCAACCAAGTGGAGACTAAAAGTTCTAACCCGAGAAATGTGGTTATGAAATTCACTGTGAGCTATCAGCACTCATACGAAACTGTAAAATAAGCTATCATCTGTTATTTAAGACACTTTTTTAGTCCATCATGTTTTCCTGCAACTAGGAAAATCTTTCAACGTTTCTTTACAAGAAAGTGTACCATCTCAAATAACAGTTACTCTTTTAAAACCTGAAATTCTGGCAGTCTAGACTGCCAGATAAGGAATCCGTATAAGGAATCACAGAAGAGATAGCACAGAGTTTCAAAGGAAACAGGCAGCTGAGCAAAAAGCCCCTGGAAACATACCAGAGCAAAGGTAAGGGCCTCGGTGAAGCCAGCTGCTGCCACCTCGTGTCTCAGCAGTTCCGTGAGCTTATTAAGGGGAAACTGGAAAAAAGAAAGTTTACTTTAATTCACCTTTATAAAGTTTTATATTTTAAAAAAAGTGATCTATACAGAACATGTCACTAAAAGGACACCACCCTTCCATCCTTACTAATATATTGCTAGTACCACCCCTTCCCCACCCCTCACCACCCCAATACGCCTACACGTTTACCTCCCCACACACAGCTTCTGCCTCCAGGCCCAGCTGAGAAAATAAGTCTCCCAGCTCGAGAGTCACCAAGGCTCCACACCTAAAACCTGTCTTTCTTCAAAGCACTAGTCATCACAAGTTTTCAACTTTCTCTCCTCAGCTGGGCATCTGTTTTGTATCCTCTCCATAGCAAACCGCCTCTCATAGCACAGCAGATCCAGATACTGCTTAATTCCTGCGTTCTGTTTCTCTGGAAGCCTTCCCGGCATTCGACAGCCACTTTCTAACAATAAGGAGTGTTTACTTAAGGGTGCAGTCTCACTTGATTAGCTATGGTGTACGTTTTCGGGAGAGTCATCGGAATGTTGTTGTAGCCGTAGGCGATGGCTGCGTCTTCTACTATATCACACGCATGGATGATGTCAGCTCTGGTTGGAGGGACTTCAATCTCAATCTGATTCCCATCGCCAATGACTTCTGACTTTAAGTACATCCTGGTCAGAAGCTTAGCAAGGTTTTCTGGAGATTCTCTGAAATAGGAATGTATAAATGTCACTGGACTGTTTAAAACATGTTTCCATTTTGTTTTAAAACATGCTACTAACTGAAGTAGTAACCTTTCTTTCTAAATTCCACTAGACACCAGAGACATCCTAATGGGTGTCTTCCCAACACTTCCCTTAACCTGAAGGGATATCTCCCAGCATTCTTTCAGGAAAAAATAAATAACCTGTGCGTACTTCATTTTTGCATTCTCTCCAACCGTCAATAAATCAATGAAGTTCCGGAGCATACCTGATTCCAACTTTTTTGTTGATTAGGTCAGCTCTCATCACCTCCTTTCGGTACGCCAGTTCCTTCGGAGAGAGAGTTGGAGAAGCTTAAAGCATCCCTGTTGGATGCAGCGCTGGCCCCTTTCTGTTTCAACTCCTTGTTACAGTTTTATCCCCCAACCCCAAAGAACCTGTCGGATACTGAAATTACCTGGTCTGCTGTTTCAAAACACTATTATGCAAGAATAAATCTGATACCTATTGCACTTTTATTAACACTTGGCAATTCTTCATATTAAAAAGAAAACTTCTTCAAATCAGACGCTACTTTAAAACAGACTAAAGAGCCATCCCTGGCTAATCCGAACCACGACTGCGGGTGAACTGTATAAATGGCCACAAATTCCTCCAGTCTATGTGGCCTTGGAGTCGATTTCTCCCCCTTTCAATCTAGCAGAACTACTGGTTTGGGACAACAAGACAGCTTGCTCAGCAGCGCCTGAGCCCTGGACATGCTCTCTTGCTGCCGGGAAGCCTGCAGCCACCATCAGGCAATGAAGACCAAGCTATCCCGCTGCATGATGAGAGACACTTGACCTGCTGACCCCACTGCCAGAAGGGGGCATGCCAGTGAGGCCATCCGAGGTCATCCAGCTGTTAGCCTGCCAACCAGCTGACCACGCAGGAGCGAGCCCAGCAGAGTGCAGCCAGGCTGGGCCAGGCCAAAAGAACTACCCAGGTGACCAAGAGAATCCAGAGATAAACCACTCGTTCTTATTTTAAGTCATCAACTCTTTGGATAGTTTGTCACATAACATAAGCTAACCTGGTAACAGGTACAAAAATAAATTTTTAAAAAGATACTGCCCATAATTATAGTCATGCTTTCTACAGTTATCCATTTATTTTGAATCATAACTAATACTCTAGAATAAAAGATGATGCTACATGCCAATGTTATCAGGAAGGGTAAGGTTCTGATGTTGACAGACGTTATCCACTCTAAAAGCTATTTGAATATTAATAGTAGAAACCCTTCTACACTGATTTACTTCAAAAATGACAGAGAAATAGTGAAAAACACCCCAGCTCACTAAAGAATAGCCTCACCAAATCAGAAACTAAGTGACTAAGATGCTATCATATTATTAGAGTGGCCACGTTTATATTTATAAAACCCTCTTGGGGGGAAAAGAAGCCCAAAATTAAGAATAATGCTGGTTTGCATTATTGTTTTTTACTTACAGTGATTTATGCCAGCAAGTAACAGGAATTATGGCCATATAATGCTGTGGTAGAACGTAGCGTGTTGGGAGCTAAAGTTGGACTGGCGGGGCTTAAATCCAAGCCCCACCTTTCATAGTAACAGACAAGCTATTTAACATCTCAAGGCCTCTGTACCTCTGTCTAGAGAAGGGCACTATAACAGCACCCACTCTCATAGGCTTAACGTGAGAATTAAATCCGTGTGATGCACACAGTATAGTTCTTGGCCTGTGGGTGGATGGATGGACAGATAAACAGACAGCCTGCAAGCACTGTATAGCCATTATCATGCTTATCATCATCATCATCATCAAGTCACTTCTTAAGTACTTACTGGAAAGGTATATGATTTTCCATTAGGATAAACTACCTCAGCTGCTTCAACCCTGCGGAAAAAAGAAATAAAATACTTAAGCAAAAAAGGGTCCATAAATTTTGGAAATGCATATGGTTAACAAATCTTTTACTCGGCCTACAGCTGCAGCCCCCACGTATTCAAACTACTCACTTTCAACACTGCTGCTTGCACTAACCCTCCTAAGTACAGCCTCACTATCCTACTCTCCTCCTCGGGCTCCCCCGTGTCTCCAGGTGGCGCCCGCTCCATTCGCGCATTTCCCAGCGCATTTCCCAGCACCCCGAGCGCGCATCCTCTCAGGACTGCTCGCCCATGCTGACAGGGGCGCCCGGGCTCTCCCAGGGCGGTGTGTCACACCACGAGGGCCAACTGACACAGCCACCAAAGAGATCAGTTAAAAAAAAAAAACTGATACTGCTCATACAGTTTCAGTCCTAATTTCTACACCTACACATTTTGAATTATAATTAACATTCTGAAATAAATGTACTATGATGCTGGTACACAGTAAGGGCCATATAAGTTAGTTACATAAAATTTTTAAATGAAAAACTAGCTTTGAAAACATTACAGTTATCTTATTGATATATATATATATACATATACATATATATATGTATATGTATATATATATCATACGGGATTTGCTCATGTGCTTCTCTACCTTGGTTCAGCTCCTCCACCATGTTTCCATCCTCAAACTCAATGACCCCTGAACACAGCGGACATTCCACTGCCCCCACGAGGCCAGCCCAGATCGCCCCAGCTGCGACTAACCTGCCCTTGCAAACAGCCAGAACATCACTGAAACTTTTTGAAGTGCTTATCACTCTTTATTTTATATATTATTTATGCTATGTCTTAGCTCCCGAAGAGATTCTGTGTTCTAGTTACAGGAACACATTTTTCATCTTTACATTGAGCACAAGGCCTTCGTGCTTTGCCTTCAGAACAACAGGCCACAGATAAAGGTGCCAAATGAACTTACGTAAATTGATTCTCACAATATTCACTGAACATGGTGACAATAATATCAAGAACTATTTTTGCCTGCAAAGAAAAAGACAAATATAGTAATCTATAAATATATGTATTCTCTCTTAACTTAGATGGAAATGAATTAATATTTAATATAATTTAGTTCCCAAATATCTAAAAATGGACCCCTACATTATAAAAAGGGGAGTGGCATGAACACTTAGGAGCTAAATTAGGCCTGTCCGTATCTTCAAGTGTTCAGCATTATGTGGTTTTCAGAGAGTTACACTCCGCAATACAGACCAATCATTTATTTCCACACCCCTCCCTTGGATTCTCCATGTTTTGAGAAAGACAAACGGCTAAGGGGGTAACCCTTACCAATACCGTAAGTCTTTGCAGCCTGATGCCTCAAATACTTCCCTACGAGCAGTCTGACTCAGGGAAAGTTACTTATGGTCTTTGTACCTTTGTTTCTTCAACTGTTAAGTGGAGGTAATAAAATTCCCTACCTATTTTGGTTATTATAAGGATGAAAAAATACATATCTCTCAATCACAAAGAACAATGCCTGATATACTGAAGGCCATAGAGATCTGTTAAAAAATTTTTAATTGAAAAATACAGTAACCTTATTAGAATATATGCTTTGCTTTTATATATCCCTCACTCGTATATAAAAGCTTCAAGAAAGACATTCGATGTCTAATATATGAATTTAAACATGGTTTCATATGAATATTACTGGCAATATTTCTCAAGGCAAATATGGTACAAGAAAGTTATAAATGAAATAGCTTACAACTGTCTGATTCTGTTAACGTATACGAATGCCATTTATCTGCCTTCTACACTCCAGCCTCTTCCTGCCATTCAAGTTTATCTAAAGCTGCTCAGCTGCCCCCTCACTCCGCACCTTGCTTGACATGAGTGAAGAAATCACACGCCATAGAAAAAAGGTTTCATCACAATCCAACCCAACTGATGCAGCAGCCGAAAGTGAGTGCACAGCTAGTATTCTACATATTCTCAGTATCATTGTGCGCATACACCCTTTATCAATTCACAAACTGAAATTTCTTTATAGCCAGTTCGTTTTTAAAGGCTTTTCACCAACTATACAAAGGTACCAAATTACTCAGCATTTCAATTAAGCCAACTAAGATAAACAATTTATACAGATCACATTACATACTTATCCCATCCTGTTTCACAGTTAGGTATGTGGCTAATTCTCCCAAAACTACCAGTTCCTGGAAGTCAAGGAACTTGCAACTCATTATTAAATTCTTGGCACTGAAAAGACAATAGGTGCTCACTGAACATTTGCCAACTGAATGAAAGTACCATAACCAAACTGTTATATCTTTCTAATTTTCTACATTATGCTCCCACCTTCAAAATAAACATTTCAAAATTCAGCCATAGAGTCTTGGCCCAGAAGTAAAATCTATCATGTCTAACAGTACAAAAACAGAGAAAAGTTTAATTTACCTTAGTAAGGTCAGTTCCTGTGCATTCAATAAATACATTTCTAGTATTTACTGTTATTTTGGAATGATTTCCTGTAATGAGCACAAAACAGTAATGACAAAACAATCAGTTTTAGAAATGTAAGTGCACTAAAAAGCTCTACAAAACAGAACCTACAGTTACTTTACAACACAACATAAACTAAGATCTCAAAGTAAGGAGAAATACAACATTAAGCCCGCTGCAGAATAAGGACAAAACTACTAACAGGCCTTACTGAGTGCATTCAGCGCACCAGGTGCTGTACCCAGCACTTCAGAGAGGTGTCTCACCTCGTCTCCACCACAACCCCATGGCAGAGGGGCAGAGAGACCTCTCAGATTTAGGGATGAAGCTCATTCACCGTGATGACAGAGTATTAAGCAGCAAGGCTAAGATCTGAGGCCAGATCTAGCTAACCTCCAGCCTCAGATTCTTAACCACTTGGAGTCCAAGATCTCAGAAGGCAAAGACTTGCCTGTCTATGGTGAATCAACTAAATCCCAGTCGTATCTCCAGAAAAGCAAACATCTATGGCTTCAACATCATTAAATTTTGTATCATCATATCATTCAACATCATATCATTTTGTAATTTCCTTCAAGCTGCCTCATCAAAACAGCCTTCAGAAAAGAGATGAGAGTAAAACTCAGTTTAAAAATTTTTGTTTTTAACTATAAAACAGACAAAGCAGAATCTGACTTTGAATTTAACCAAGAGAATTGCCTCCTAAAACCAAAACATCAATACCCTTTGGAGGAATGTAACAGAATCCAGAGACTGGCATCAAAAAGTATTTATGAACTTAAAAATATTTACATATCTATAAATTGTATAAAAATCCCAGGTAAAATGTCATTGAATAAATGAATGGAAAGAACTATTACTACGAGAAAAAAAAAATCTAGAAAAGACCTGAGATTCTCAGGTCAAGGGTTAATTTGATTGATTCAGCCAATTGTATTGAGAATGCTACAGAAATGCAGAAGAATATGAAGAGATGGCGAAACTCTATGCTGCTTAAGAAACAGCTCACCGTTGATGATCGGAGGCATGGAGAGGACGACACCATTGCTGTCGTAGATAACTGGGTACAGGGGTTTGTTTTCAATGATGTGTAAGTAATGTTTAAGGTGGTTGTCAGTCTGAAAAACAATTAAATCAGACAAAATTAGTTTTTTATTTCTATCGATGTAATTAGTTTACATACCTACCTAGTCTAAGAAGAAGGCTGAAAGTCATAAAACAAACCTGTACCAAATTACAGAGTTCTAAGTTTCTACGATTTTCTAATAAAAATTAGCATCTCGGCATCCCTGCACAGCCTCCCCTCCCGCTGGGAAGAGATGAGAACACAAGTGAGCCGCTTTCAACAGGGAAAACGGATCTGCGCTGGTTCGCCTGAGTCATCTCAGTGAAAACAAACACCGTCACTACGCTGTTTAGATAAATCAAAGGAAATCACTGGCAAATCAGACCAAGGCTAACAGCTGCTTTTTTTTTTTTAATGATACCCACTACATCTCTGTTACACGCAACCTAACGTGACTGCTGAATTCATTGTCACTGCTGGACAATAAAGTCAAATTAATGAGGCAGACACTTTGCAATGCTGCCCCCGCTTCCCCATAAAACCTAGCTAATTCTCATTGTTCCTTATACTTACGGGAGTTCTCATCATACCCAAATATAAATATTACAGTGTGGTACGGTCTACTTCAGTGGTTCTCCATCCCAGCTGCACATTAAAGTCATCCAAGAGGATAAAAATGTAATAATGAGACAAAACTATACCCAGCACCCCGCTCCAGACCAAATAGTCAGATCTCTGTGTTGGAGCCCAGAGACCGCTCTTTTTTTTAAGCACTCATCACCTTTCTATAATTCTCAGACTTGACTTCAAAGGAACTTCAAGATTTATTCAGAGCTACTGCATAACATAAAGGAGCACTTACCTTGTACATGTTCATCATTTCACAGGCTGTATACTCCTTTGTCTTACTCAGAGGTCTGAACTTGATGTCTGAAGGTCGCTTTGCAGTGTAAGTAAACGGGCCTGACAGAGTGTCCAAATCGTGGGTACCAATAGCAACCAACGCTCTTTTCCTAAAGGTTGAAAGGAAGGGAGACAGGAAGAGAGAAGGAAAGAGACAGAAAGAGCGATTTGAATATTCCAAAGCAGAAATTCTAAAGATAATAGACTGCATGTTTTTAAAAATTGTTTTTGGACACTTCCCTAAAACTGCCTATTGCTGGATGGCAACTTCAGAGGAGTTAGGGAACAAAGTCTCACAACCATGGAAAGTGATGAGAAATTATAAGGCTACTAACAACACATTATTTCAGTAGCTGAAGTAAATTCCTCACCAATATGCCTTGCCAAGACCTGTGTTATAGGACATTTTCCAAGTCAACACTCCCCCTGGTTTTTTTAACCTTATTTCCAATCAGTGTCCTCAAGTAAACATCGATGTTTTACTAAATTAGAATAAAGTACCAAATTGCTGTGTTTTTTGACTAATTTATATTTCCCTAAACTTTCTGTTACATATTACATTAATAACGCAGAAAATTTAATTTTAAGAACTGTTAGTTTACATTTAAAGTTCAATGCATAAGGAAAGTTCACAAGCTATTTGTTCTACTGCAAAGGATATATCCACAAAGGATTTAAGGTAATTTTAGGAACTTACAATAAGTTATAAATTAGGAGAGAAAGAAACGAAAGTAGGGATATCACACAGAGCCAGGAAGTCTGTTCATATACTAAATTAGAACGAAAGGCCCAGTTTTACCAACAGGCGGGGGCCACCGATTTGGCTCTAAGTGTTCCAACAGACAATTCAAAGAGAAAGTAGGTCAGAATTTATGCCATTCTCAACATTTCTTGAAATTGGCTTTGGAGGTATGTGCATATATTTGCATATTTAGGTATAACTACACATACACACAAAGAGATAAAATGCATTAGTAATCAAGAATTGTATTAAAGTCTATATTACAATAACTATAAAACAGTTTTTAAAATTTGCAAGAAACCGATTTTAGTCAACCTCTAGGACTGGTGACTAAAACTTTAGTAAATATGGTTGACTGGAACGGAACCATTGACAAGCAAAAAGGATGTCACTTCACTCAATGAGTGATATGCTTATAAAAGATAACTCCAAAACTATCATAAATTGAAATAGATATGCTTCAATAAGTTTACATAAATTAAAGACTGACCAAACCCAATGTTAACATGACCCAGATTTTCAAGACACCACACAGATTTTAAAGCTCCTAGTACAAAAACATGTTCAAGGGGAAAATACACACGTCACGAACAGATGAGGAAATATCAGCAGAAAAAGAAAAACTTCTAAAAAGAAACCAAATGGAGATGAAAAGTAAAATAACTGAGGTAAAAAATTCACTGCACACCTCCAATCAAGATGGAGTAACAGAGGCTGGTTTGCTCTCTTGACGGAAACACCATAAAAAGGGCCAAGCAGATGAAACGCCAGTTCTCACGGCTGGCACCGGACATCGGGCAATGGAGGGCAGCATTCCTGAGAGACTGGAAACAACTACGTGAGCCCCACGACTGCCCCAGCTTGCTGCCTGCGGGGGGGTCCACGCTGCAGGGCAGGAAAGGGGGACCCGGTGGAGCCCAGTGGACTCTCTGGCTTGAAGAGACATAGATGAGGGTCTAGGAAGACCAAGACGGCCGGAATCCATTGGACAGAGTACGGGAGAGGAGACGGCTACAAAGAGAGAGGGGTCTGGAGACCCAGAGGGTCCCCCTCAAGATTCGCCCGAGCCCGGTGAGCACAGGCACGTGAGGAAGCACGGTGGGAAGGAAGGGCCAGCCGAGGGAACTGGAGGGGCCAGCGCTCACCCAACCGAAAACCTCACTGTGCATGTGGCAATGGATAAAGGAGGCGAGGGGTCTTGCCTCAGCAGTAGCAACTAATTAGCCCTGCACAGACCAATAAAAACGGAAAACCAGAGAAAAGTCAATGAAACCAAGCCTCAGCCACACGGACCAAGGGACAAAACACACAGGATGAAAAGGTGATATTACTACATGTACCACAGGTATTAAAAGGATAAGGGTACCTTACGAACAGCTTTATGATCATGAATTTGATAACTTAAACTAAATGAATATATTCCCTAAAAAAGGCAAATTTCCAAAGTTCACTTTAACGTTAATCAGGATTTACTGACAGATCAGGACTCTGGCACACAAGAGTGTTAGGATGTGATTTATTTCTCTCCTTCAAAAAAAACTCAGGACTTCCAAATATATCCAATGAAAGTTCAGAGTTGGACTGAGGAAATGCCTTCTGATTTAGATAAAAATAGTCTTCAAATAAAGTAAATCCAGAACAGGTCATCTCGCTGAAACACTCACTACCCACACGTATACTTGCCAGGAATCTTATCTCTCGTTCTTTAGTCTGAAATTATATTTAAATTATTACTATTTTGCTTAATAATAACATTTTAGCAAGCTAACAAATAGACTCTTTTTATAAAAGGACTGGGAATAAATGTTATTTGGAATATGAAAAAAAAAGTTTCCTCCACCACAAGATGTTTCAAGAGAAGGAGAGCCCGTGAGCTTAACCGCAGGCATTACTTTTGCCTGTGAGCGCTGTTCGCCCCAGAGGAAAACGCCCAGGCCCTCTCAGCCCCTCCCCAGCCCATCACCGACACACAGGCCTCTTCCCGTCTGCATGGTTTGCCAAACTGCATTTATTAGAGAAAGAAATTCTACTATTTCTATTCAAGATGTACATAACTGTTAATCATACCTTCTGATCAGAATGAGGTAACTTATACTGATATGCTTCAGAAGCAACACAAAAAAACTGACATGTTACCGAAAGCCTGGTGTTTGTTATCATCAGTAAATATGTAATTTTCATTAGATTCTTGAAATGCTGAAATTATTTCCAGGACTCTCAGTGTTATGCTCCTTGACCTTCAGGAGTTCAGGAATTACTTATGTTTGGAGATCACGATACAGAGGTGTACGGAAAACGATGTATATGTATAGCGATGTCAAATATACAGTAAGAAAATTTGGTCAATTAAAAGCTTCAAGTTTTAACTGTCAATTTGTAATTATACTCACACAGTAAGTGGTACAAGCCAAAACTTTTCCATTTTTAAAAGAACAGATCATACTTCACATTACCATAGTGTAATATTTAGTAGTATAATCCATTACCAATGATTTGAACCAAAATCACAAACACAAAAATCATGAAAATCTCTAGGATTAGGCATTTTTTCTCTATATAGCATCATCAAAATGTCTCGTATCTCCATGAATACACTATATATAAGCAGTATTTATAATTAGCTGTCTGGTAAAGCAAATTTAAGCTCTTGTTATTGTTACTCTCACATTATTACTTTAGAAATGCCTTGAAAAATTCTGCGTACAAGGAAGAAAGGAGGGAAACTGGAAAGGGAAGGCGGGGAGAGAGGAAGAGTGGGGAGAGAAAGGAGCAGGAGGAAGGCAGGGAAGGAGAAAACAAGGTGCGACCACAGACCTGCAGATGTTCTGATGCAACTTCTCCTGAAGCTCAATGAAGCTGTCATAGCGATCTTTAGTGAACTTGATATTGCGGAGGACCGCTGCGACGGCGTAAGGGCGAATTTTAGCAGTCTGAAAGTCATTATATCGTGAGAGACGGTAAGTGTTAACTAAAGCTTTTCTCTGTGATACATCTTGTAATAGAAAGTCAGCTGCACTCCTCACATTATCACAAACTTTCATTCAAATAAGCGTATATTCATTCAACCAACAAGCAACAAAATATCATTGTGACAAAAAACAAAGTCACTGTCCTTTGGAATTTCCAAGTCAGTAAGACTTCTGAGAATTTACTAAATAATTACGAAAGAATTAACCTTTAAGTAAGCAGTTTGCTCACAGTTGGTATTTTTTACCAAAATAACCTCCCCCAGAAGTGTCTTTTTAATTTTATTACTATACCACAATTTAAGTAATACATCTCAAATGTAATTTAAATAAACATTTGGATATTATTTGCCAAAATTATTCATAGAAAACAGATGCTTTTGTTCCCTTTCATTCTTGATACAAACAAATTGACAATATTTAAAAGCTAGAGGTTGAATATACATCCATTTTTGCAAATCATCAAAGAAATTATATTTGGCAGAAGAATTCAGCTCTGTTCTTTTTTCCTCCCCACTTTATATATACACAAAAGAGACTGATTTTCAAAGGAAAATAAGATTTTATCCTTATTACCTCTTCTGTGATGATCAGTTTCTGGATTTCTCCACTAGGCATTACCCGTTTATACACTGGAGCCTTTATCCTAAAATAATATTAAAACAAACTTGCTCATTATTAACCAAAACATTTCATAAATTAATTATATTCTCTGTGTAAACAAAATGGACAGAACTAAGACAATGGGCTGACGTTACAGCAAATCAAATTTGAACTGAATATTTTTTTTAAAAGCTAACAAACTTCCTAAGATTTAAAGTTCTCCATAAAACTGTTAACCACTTCAGTGTTAAAATAAGCTCCCAAAATGAAAGGTTGTGACTCAATACCCCAAGTTTCAAATGGCTACAACCTATGTGAACCTCACCCGCCAGTCACCCCATCTACGCAGAACCAGACCTGTGTACCTGTCCAACAAGGTTTTTTGTAGAAACTTCAAGAGTTGCTAATAAGGACAGGCAAAGAAAAAACATCCGCTTCGGCGAAGTACTTAGTGAATATATTCCCTTACCTTTCTTTAAAGACTTTCAGCCCTCGAACCAATCCCTCCAGACACAGGAGATCGTATCTGTTGGCGGGGACGTCAATTTTGTAAAGAACAACATCGGATGCCCCCTCTGCCTTTTCATTACCTTGTTCCTTGCTTATAATTTCCTTCTCAGAAGTCTAGAACAAGCACAAAAATTAAATTAAATTAATCTAAATTATTTTGAAAAACTACTTGTCAGCACTATAAAGCAGTAACTACCTTACACAGATTTTTTTCTACAACAAACATAAAGAAATGACTTTTACTGAGTTCACACATGTAGCATCCTCATTCATTCGAGAATACCACAAATGAGCCGGTAGCTCAGTTGGTGAGAACACTGTCCAAATACACCAAGGTTGAGGGTTCAATTCCCAGCCAGGGCACATATAAGAATCAAACACTGAATGCATCAACAAGTAGAACAACAAACTGATGTTCCTCTCTCTCCTTTCCCTCCGCTAAAATCTATAAATAAAAAAATTGTTTTTAATAATACTAAATTACCTTTTTAGTTATAAGTTCATCTTTAATACATCATCAATATTAGTATAGTTTGTAAATACATCTATTTTTAAAATATTTTAATCATTAAGCAATCAAAAAACTAGGAAAATGCTCCAGAATCGTTTCTATAAGCCATTCTTCAAAAACAGGTCACTTTACAAGATCAACGTATACAGTAATAAATTAGGAATGAATTAACATTGGTTAAATACGCATAAAGGAAGGTGGGGTGGCGGACAGAGAAGTGAAGGAAGGGGGAGGCTGGAGTCCATGGAGACAGCAACTGTGGCTGAAGCAACTTTTCCACTGCTTCCCAGGGCCCCTCCCATATGATGTATTTGCCACAATAAGGCACCTCACTGCCAAGGAGCGCACTCTGATTCGAGGGTTGCCTGAGACGGCCCACCCAGCTCCACAGCAGGAGCCAGGTGCTACACACAGAACACAGCAGGGACCACTTTTGAGATTTCAGGCAAAGCAACAGACAGTCTCAGACCCAGACCTCAGCCCCTTAACACAGAGGAACACAGGGTCACCATGGCCCACAAGTGTTCTAACCACAAGGTAACAAAGATAAACTATAGCAAAATCGGGTGAAAAATGGGCTTCAACACAGAATATCAGAAAAATACATATCCAATACATACAATTTCATCAAGTTCCAGACCAAATTCAAAACATAGTTCATCAAATTCTTCGTCAGCTAGGGAAAAAACAAAACATTTTTTTAATCTGATCAGCATAAATGAAGAGCATATAAACTCCATTTTCTTATTAATTGCCTTATGCCAAGCATACTAAGTATCAGTCATCAGATATCATCATTTAAAAACAAAGCTTAAAATTTTTTAATAAGAAAAAACACACACAACTATTAAAATTGATTCATCAAACATCAACTACAGAATTATTACCTGAACTGGGGAGTTTACAGTTACTTAGAAGAAAAGTAACCTATTACATAAACATCAAGTGTGAAGGCTCCAAATCACAGATCCAACACAATGGAATAATGTCATATAAATTTTATCATTCAAACTTCTCTTAGGCAGCCTGACAGTTGGCTTTGGAGCCAGGCCAATCAAGAGTTTGAATTCTGACTATCCCACTTACCAGTTCTGAGAGCCTGGCACCTTATATAAACGTCCTCATTCTTATGCCTCATCTATAAAGTGGCATTTTACATCCATTTATTTATAGCATACAACTAGTAGAAAACTTGAAATAAGTTCATGCAGTTAATGGGCAGCTCAACACAGTGCCCTGAAATGTGGTAGGTCTACAATAATTAATAGTTCTCTTCCTTAGTTGCAAGTTATATTCCAGTTTACTACCTGACACGGTATTTTGAGGGTTTCCTCATTACCGAAATATCTAGCACAAAGCATCATTATCAGTATATGAGGGGGCACCCCAAAGAACAGAATAATCTTCTAGAGGGTGGGCCCCTTGTAAACAGGATTCCCCTGATAGATAAGTGTTCTAGGAACCCATTTGGAGTAGTATACCAGCTGGTGTTGTTGTGAGAGGCTACATCCAGCTTCAGTGAATTTTTTTTGAAGACTCTTTCATTGTGCTTGCCCATTTCACAATGGGTGATTTACAAGGGCACCTGCCCATACCCATGTGCTGAGTGTTCTGCAGTTTTTGACCAAAAACAGCATGATCCCCATGCCCCACTCTCTCTAGTCATCTGATCTTGCCCAGGGCAACTTTTTTTTGTTTCCCTGAATGAAAAAAGTCCTCAAAGGGGATGTGGAAGAATGTGGAAAAAGTAAAAGACAGCAGAAGCACTAAAAGGCATCAAAATCAATGAGTTCAAAAACTCTTTGGAGCAGGGAAAAAAATGTCTCCATAGATGCATCACATAAAATGGAGAGGACTTTAACATTGACTGAAGTTTAAACGTGTAATAATAAATACACAATTTTTTACAAATAAAGTCCATTTTGGGGGGTCCCTCCCTCATATTCTAGTGAAAAGCTAATCTTAAGATTCCAGACCCCTGCCCTGGCTGGTGTGGTTCAGTGGATTGAGCACCGGCCTGTGAACCAAAGGGTTGCTAGTTCAATTCCCAGTCAGGGCACATGCCTGGGTTATGGGTCAGGTGCCCAGTAGGGGGCACTCGAGAGGCAACCACACACTGATGTTTCTATTCCTCCCTTTCTCCCTTCCTATCCCTCTCTAAAAATATATATAAATAAAAAATAATCTTAAAAAAAATCCAGATCCCAATATTAAATCAATTTAACAAACATCCTTTTTCTGAAGGCTTAGCTGACCCTAAGCTGGAGCTGATTACTTCCTTTGTTACCAGCTCTGTACCTTGCACTTAATTATATTTACATATCTGGTTTGTTTACTAGAGTAGAAAATAGTTAATGTTGGAATTGTGTTTTATTTATCTTAGTGCAATGGCTGGCATATAGTAAGTACTCAATAAATGACTTCAGTAAGCAGAGATAGTAGAGAGACAACAGCATGGCAAATTTGTAAAGTTCAATATGGATGGAGCATAATTCACATCAGGAAGAGATAGAATAGAACAAGTAGATAGAAGCCATGTCATAACACGCCCAGGGATTTGTCCTCCATCCTGCTGGCCAGTAATGGAGAGTTCCAGTGAAGGATTTTTAGCTGGGCAAAGGCATCCTTAGATCTGCAGTTTACTGCAACAGTACAGGTGAGACGGTGAGGACCTGATTAAAGCAGCAGTGGGTACCCGGAAGAAGGAAGAGTGTGAGAAATATTAGAGGCAGAATCTGTAAGGCTCAAGGACTGAAAGGAAGGCGGGGCAGTGAGTGAACAAGAATCTAGAAGACTCCCACGTCTGTGGCGGGGGTATCATTAACTAGGGCAGGGAATAACACAGGTCCCCAGGGAATGGTATTCATATCCTTGTGGTAAAACCTGGATTATATCTTTCTTTCCCAGAGATGGATGCCTGGTGGGAACTGATCAATGTCTTGAACGAATATTTGCCACATACCACCTTATGCAACTCAGGTATGTTGTACACCGTTAGAGTGTATAAGATTTAGAAGGATGGATAAAAAATATAAATATCATGAAATAAAAAATGTCAGGGATTAGAGGCAAGTTCAGAGGGCAGGAGTAGTACCTACGGCAGAACTCCAGGGAGAATAATACTTCAAGAATACATAGTACCCAAAAGTACACCTTTAGAACCATTTTTAAAAGCTAGCTTTATTTTCACTTTAATATCTTACTCTAGGAAGCAGTACGGACTAGGACTATCTTACCAAATTGAGCCCTAAAACTAAAGATAACTCACAAATCAAGTGCCACATTCAACCTTTATACCAACTGATAATTATGGGGTGACCAGATGTAAATTCAACTGCTACATCTATAGGGTAACTGGTAATTGTACTTAACACCCTCCTCCCCTTTTATATGGTAATATATTTAGAACTGAAGAAAAGGTGAAGTGTAGCATGAAGACTAAGTGTACCAAGTAGACTCCTAGTCATTTAGGTCTCAGCTCAAACGTTACAAACCTATCTAATATCACTCTTAGCACAGTATCCTTTTTGTTGCCTTAATCTCATTTAATATTATCCGCATTTTATTTATGTTCTAGTTCATTACTGTTTGCTTCCCTCATCAGAACGCGCGAGTAGACCTTATGTGTCATGTGCATTGCTGTGTTCCCAAAGCGCTTAGAACACTGCCTAGCACACAACCAGATGTTCACAACTACTACTAATAAAAACAGAATGCCGTCACCCCTCCCGGCTCAACCTTCTCCCATCCCTCATGAACGGAGTTGCTCTTCTTATTGCACTCAGCGAGCTACAAGCGGGAGACAAGCTGGGGCTTCATCCCCAGCGACCCCTAACACTGGGCATGCAGTAGGCGCTCCACGCGAGAACGCTGAATGAATGACACAGCGAGCCGGACACGTGGGGGTGATGCAACTGCAGCCGTGGCGAGACCGGTTCCGAGAGGTTAGATCAGTCCAAGACGGCCACTTTGGCCATCCGCTGCCTCTCCCCCCGACTACCCGGTGCCAAAACAGATCGAGCTGCATGAAGAATGCCACGATGCCCTTTTGGATGGGGTGAGGGTGGGGGGACCTCCCAGCCTCCGAGAAGAGGTACAGAGCCCAAGCCACCGGGCGGGCACTCACTGTAGGTCCGGCCCAGGGCTTTGAAAAGCAGATGCCGCTTCACGCTGACAGTCGGCATGGCGAGTGAGTGCGTCCACTGCGCCTGCGCGGCGAGCCGGCCCGCCTCCAAGACCTAGGTATGTAGGACCCGGTCCTCCTTGTGAGGCTGTCTTGGTTACTGCCAGTCTTCTTCCAACAGCTTTTACTTTTCTTTCTATCTGAAGGCAAGTAAATTACCATTACTATGCTCAGTAAATCTATGTACATTGGATGAATAAACTAAAAGCTGGTAAAGGAGACAGAATTGGGTAGACTAGGCTACTATTTGGTGGGCAGTACACTAGACAGACAGCAAAGGCCCTCTCGCCGCCAACGCACTGCGGAGAGATTACGTCAAACTAGGTGAGCGGAGAAAGAGGGAGGGGCCTACAGGGGGCGGGGCCTCAAGGTGGGGAGTACTCGCGGGGGAGTGGGGAGTCTGTGAGAAGGCGGGGTTTGAGGTATCCAAGGGGAAGAGTGTGCAAATCCGAGTAAAGGGAGTGGGAGAATGTGTAACAGACATCAGCTTTTACTTCATTCGTACATAGTCTCCGTTGCACACTTCTAAGCATTATACCTGTGTTTTGTTTCAACTTACAGCAGCCCTACAAGGGAGGCCTCGTAAGAGACCCTCTTTAGAAGAGGAAACAGACTAACGTTTACTCATTGCTGTCTACTGGCCAATGCTATGCTCGATCTTCTGCCAGTATTAGCATATTTCCTCCTAACAACCCTGAGTGTATTAGGCTGAATAAGCTCTAACATCCCCCCACCCCCCGCCCCAAAGACTCTAGATCCCGATCCCCAGGGCCTGTAACTGTTGCCTTAAGTGGAGACTTTGCAGATTATGGATTTCGAAATGATGGGAGTATCCTGAATTTATTAGAAAGGGCCCTAAGTGCAATCACGTGAGTTCCCATAAGAAGGTGGCAGAGGGAGATTTGACAGAGAAACAAAGCAGAGCTTGGGGTGATGCGGCCACAAGCCAAGGAATGCCAGCAGCCGCCAGAAACTGAAGAGGCAAGGAAGATTCTCCCTTAAGCCTCTGGAACAGCCCTATACTGAATTTCTGGTCTCCAGAACAATGTGCATAAGTTTCTTTGTTTTAAGCCACTGAGTTTGTAAAAACTTGTTGCAGCAGCCATGGGGAACTTATACACTAGGGTAGGTATTACCATTATCCCCATTTCACAGATAATAAACCTAAGGCCCATGCTGTCTGAATCACCCAACTCTCAAGGCAGAGCTGAGGCAGTTCCACAGGGGGGCTTGCCCTTATGTTTCCTACCGTACAGTGAATTAGGGCCCTGAAGGCCATTCAGGTGAGGGGGCAGTGGCTGGGTTGGATTTAGGCCTCCCAGATTGCCAATCAAGCAGTTTTTCACTATATTAGTAGCTTCCCTTCATGGTTGCAGGAAGTCCCTTCTCAGTGCCCAACATATCAGATTGGCAGAGTGCCCATTAGCAGCAAGCATCTCTCTCCAATGCCAAAAAAAAACACCCCTCTGCTCCCAAATTGGTACTCAATGCTCAATTAATGAATAAAGGACTTTCGGGATTATGGCATGCTGACCTGCTCCCCTCTGGCCACTCCAAAGTGTCCTGTGGTCTCTGAAACTCAGTTTCCTTATCTACACTGTAGAGATAATAATACACACCTTAGAGAATTATTGTAAAGATTAGAAATAATACTCATAAATGACTAGTACAGTTCTTACATCATAGCTCCCAGAAATTGAGCAACTGTCATTATCGTTATCCATTTTCTTGGATAAAAAAGTAAATCACAGCCCTGACTGGTGTAGCTCAGTGGATTGAGTGCGGGCCTGTGAACCAAAACGTAAGTCACAGAAGCATGTATACAGCATGGTGCCATTTATATAAAAATGAAAATGAAGCTAACTTAAAGAGGATATTGTTTAGGGATGCATAAATAAACATCACAACTAAAAGGAAAAGGAATGATAAAACACAAAATCTGAGACACGCTGGTTCTGAGTAGGGTGGAAAGGAAGCAGTCTGGGCAACTGGGATACCAAAAGGGTTTCAAAAGTATCAGCAATGTTCTGTTTAACCTGGTATACCTCTGTGGATGGACTGTTAAGGAAGTAAAGATGAAGGTGGGAAATGAGCTGAATGTAGCACTTCTTCAGGGATTGGGGAGGCAAATGCTTGATGGTTTATAGATGAGTAGAAAAACAATAGAAATTCTTAATATTTGATTTTTTTAAGATATTTTTTCATAAAGAGGTTTCCTTCCAAAGTTTTAGTCTAATTTATAATTCATTTCCTTCATACATTCTGGGTTTTAGGTTATGTTTTATTTTTTTCAAAGGTTCAAAATGGTTTTATCTCATTATTATTCGAGTACAGGATACTTTTTAAAAGCTCTTTCATCACCCAATATTTTTTAAATCATATATACTGCTTAAAGGTCTTGAATGTGTTTTTTTTTCCATTTAAATCTCAGATCTTTCTGAAATTTGTTTTGGTTTTGGATCAAGTGAATGAATCATCTTTATTTTGTTTTCAAACAGTGATCCAGTTAGCTCAACACAATTTATTAAACAACTTTCTTTTTCCCTGCAGATTTTAAATACCTCCTTTAGCATATATTAAATCTGCATACATGTTTGGACCTATTGCTAAACTATTCCATTGTCAATACCAAACTACTTTTCATTATTATAGCTATCTCATGCATTTTAATATTTGGAAGAGTTAGTGTACCTCCAAAGACTTCCTTTTCAAAAATATCCTGACTATTTTCTCCTGTTAATTTTTCTAGATGAACATTAGAATTTTTGAAGTTTTAGAAAACATTTTTAAAATATTTTATTAGGAATCAAACATAATCTGTGGATTTAGGGATTGTCCTAACCAAGAACTACAACCTCCACACAAGTTTTTTGTTTCAATTTTTTTTTTTTAATTTATTGGCTCTATAGAGAGGGGAAAGAGAGAGATACATCAATTTGTTGTTCCACTTACTGATGCATGCACTGGTTGATTCTTTCTTTCTTTCTTCAGAGACGGGAAGGGGGGGGGGAAAGAAAGGGAGAGAAACATCAATGTAGAAGAGATACATCAATAGGTTGCCTCTCACACCCCCCCGAATCAGAGACCTGGCCCTGCAACCCAGGCATGCGCCCCGACTGGGAATCGAACCAGCGACCTTTCAGTCCACAGTCAGCATTCAATCCACTGAGCCACAACAGCCAGGGCCATTGGTTGATTTTTGTATGTGCCCTGACCGGAGATCAAACCTGCAACCTTAGAGTACCAGGATGACTCTCTGAAAAACTGAGCTACGTAGCCAGGGCTCCACACAAGTTTTTGAACTAGCCAGGTCATGGCCCACCTTAGAGCCTTTGAACCAGCGGTTCCCTCTGCTAGAATGTCCTTGCCCCTAGACCCCTGCAGAGCTAGCTCACTCAGCTCCTACAAGGCTTCTCAGAATGACCTAGCCCTGACTGCACTATTTATTATGGTTATAGACATAAATGTTTCTCTGTGCTAAAACCTAAGTTCCATAGGGCAGAGATTTTTGTGTTTTGTTCACTCATACATGCCAAGAGCCTCAAATAGTGACTGGCATAGGCAGACTCTCAAATATTTGAAGTTTTTTTTTAACGACAGGAATATTTGGTATATTAACTTGGTTAAAGTAGATACTTCAGTAGAAAAAATGGGAAAAGAAAATAAACAACCAATTCATTAAATAATGCATTGGCCAAAAAACTTGTTTCATTTTTTCTGTACATGGTTCTGGCAGTGCTTAGTTGTCTTTAACTTCATTTGAGACGGTTTTGTTAGATTGTATTGTGACAGCTACCATGTCAGCATGCATTTTAAAAAAACTTACCAAATAGGTGAATTTTTGTGCAGCCATTTTAATATTGAAGGAGGAAAAAGATATGCAACATTTGTGGACATATTATGCTTTATTATTTCAAAAAAGGTAAAAACACAACTGAAATTAAAAAAAAAAGATTTGTGCAGTGTATGGAGAAGGTGCTGTAACTGATCAAACGTGTCAAAAGTGGCTTCCGAAGTTTCTTGGCACTTTTAAACATTTTAGCCAAATAATTCTTTGCTGTGGGCTGTCTTATTCATCAGAAGATGTTTAGCAGCGCCCCTGGCCTCCTCTACCCACTAGAAGCCAATAGCGGAGATAGCCGACATGCTCGAAATATCCAAATCAATAAAATTATTGGTGAAAATGAAAAATGTGTCTTTTATATTATGGAAAAAAATAAGCAAACTTTTGGGCCTACCCAATACAATGAGAAAACAAAAAGTGAGAAGGGGAGGAGAAATGCAAATCAAAATAACAATGAAAGCAGGGCTATTTTCTCCCAGGAAACTGGCAGAGATGAAATAAATAAATGATACCACTGTGTGTTGGCAGAGGTTTAGGAAGCCGACATGAATAGACACGCTTTTCATGAATATAAATAGCAGTTTGGCAATATGAATCAAATTTTTAAATATGTATTCCCTTTGAACAAACTGAGGGTCGCCAGATGGGAAGGGGGTTGAGGGGCCGTGTGGAAAACGTGGGAGTAAGAAGTACAGACTGGTAGCTACAGCATAGTCCTGGGGATGTGAAGTCCAGCACAGGGAATATGGTCAATAACACTGTAATCACTATGTTTGGTGACAGGTGACTTATCGGGGGATCACTTCGTAAGTTATATAAATGTCTAACCACTATGCTATACACCCAAAACTAATATAATGTCGAATGTCAACTGTAATTGAAAAACTTTTTAAAGCTTTAAAATATGTATTCTCTTTGATCCTGAAATCCCACTCTTGGAATTATTCAAAGGACATAATCGAGCAAGTATTTTCCTGTTCATAATATAGGAAATTTGGAAACAACCTAACTGTGCAACAATATGGAACTTGACTAAACCAAGTCTGATAACTCCATGTAGTAGAATACTATACAGGTATCAGAAATGATGCTTGAGAACTACATTTTCTAACATGGAAAAAAAAAAAAAGACCACAATGTATCGGGTGAAAACAAGTTACTGGCCAATATGTTTAAAACA